GCTGTATCTTAGTTGAAGAGGTATTCAGTGAACTATTAATTCCTAGTATGAACTTTTTATAAATGTATACTGAATGTTAAGCCTGGTCATAATAATTGTGTGTATGATAATTGCAATAATCAAAACTACACTCACCCCAACAATCACACTTCACAACAAACTTCAACACCTGGATTCAAACCACTGATCAGCTGTTATCTTAAGCCCTGCTACTTATGCTCAGGGTTGGGAGGGGCAGGGGTAGGGGTAGAGAATTGGGAGGAGATGCTTGTCAAAAATGTTGAAAATGGCTTCTAAAATAATTATTTTTACCCCCAAAAAGGTACAAACTATCTATAAGTGCTAAGTGACAGAAGGGAGGTAATAATCCTAAATTTCAACTGTCAGTTTGGCTTTCATTTTTTCATTTCATTTTTTTGCAAAGAAACCACCTAACCCCCTGGGATATAATAAACGATYGGTCCCTTATRAAAAGCTGCAWACAGTATGTTCATGTAAAATGTTGTCTTTTCCCCATGTCCTTTTATTTGCTTGACTTCTTATTTTAAATCTAGTAATAGTTTATGGTTGAATCATCTATTTTGTATGAATGTTTGTCTTTGTTGCTCAGTTGTTTTCATCTCTGCCTGCATCTCTGAGTGTTAAGTGGGAGCCCTGACATAACACCCTGGTCCTGATATAACAACTTGTGCAGCAATCRTAGAGATTATAAAAACATTATGCATCACAGGAAAATTTCAGTGACATTGATATCTACTCGTTGATACTTAGAAATCGCTCGAATTATGAAAAACAACCACAACAACTTTCAAATACACTTTCCTTTCCTATTTATTAAACTTCATATATTTAATCGCGAAACACGCCAGTTTAACATTTGAGTTAAAAAGAACCAATATTAAATATGAGCTCGCCCAACCTGGAATATAAGATCATATTTCATGGATTAAAATCATTTTAGGATAGGAATAGGAAAGTACAACATGGATAATACAAGCTTTACTGTACGACTTTTGTGTGTTTAGAATAAGGTGGCAAAATATTATCTACAGATACAGTACAAACACTAAAAGTGTGCAACACTTTGCACTATTTAGTGGTAAATAGTGCTAATTAAACAATAGAAAACAATAATAATTTAACAGTATTTAGTGGTATTTATGTGACACACTTATAGTGTTTGTACTCTTCTCTGGGGTAGTTTGTTATTTATGTAAATAGTTAATTTTAAATTTGATGACTTTTGATTTTTTGATTCACTCTTATCGAGTTAATTATTCACATATTTACCTTTTGCAAGTCTGCCTTGTTGACTTATGATTTGTGCAAAACATGGTGTCAAACCAAAGGGAACGTTTTYCCAACTTCAAACAGATTGATGAGCAGTTGTGCAAAAGGTTTCTTCACGAAACTCCGCAAATACAAAGATGAATACCTAGGTTCCTTAACCTCCTTTTGTGATGCCATAGATCAAATCTTTAAGTCATCAAGGTCTTAAAATATTCTTGTGTGTCGTCTTTTTTCGARTGGCTCTTGGAAAGGTACTTCGCAAAGAAAAATTCAATAACTAAAGATCTTTTTCRTTAAAAGCATCAAAGTAAGTGAAAAAACATTTTYGAAGGACTCCTTTACCCATATGACTGGTTCATAAAGCAATATCTTTGAGATTTTTTKGGGGAAAACGGGAAGATAAACACGAGCGTTTACTCTTCCCTCTTGGCCGCCATTGTGAAATCGCTGAACCGCGACGTGACGTCATACTGTCATACATGACTCATTCATTGTTTACCTTGGAGACGTCTCCTCCCTCCTGGGGTGGACAAAGAAATGTAGACAGACTTCACTAACATGTTAACCTAGCTTGCCTATTAACTAAAATTGGACACCAACACCCTACATAGAGTGCAAACACATAATAAAATCAACTATAAAATCAACATTGTTAGAGTATAATAGTTTTAATTATTCAGTGGCAATTAGTCACTATCGGTTGCATGGTTATCACTAGTGATRCAATTATATGCAGCTCCAAGGTAGTGCAACTGTTCTCACTATGAAAAGAGGTGATGAAAGTGAAGAGAACAAAATTTTTTTGTTTTTCTTGCATTGTTGCGATTGTGCTTATGCTTGCACTAATAGCTGCCAAATAAAAACTATTATTCAATGACAGTTTTGATCGCATTTCATGGATTTAGTATTGGGGTCTATTAAAAGTGATAGATTGTTAGACATACATGATCTTTTAACCACTTCAATGCATTGCATGTATTTCCACCACTACACCCGCTACCAGCACCACAAGAAATCAACTCCTGCACACTAAGTTCCTTCAAGGTACCATGTTTTATTGCCCACTGAGATTCTATGTTTTCTACTGCAGTAAAGGCCCTACATAATAAGATATAATTCAATCAGACAAATATATTTGTATTATCATATATAAACTCCTTTAATGCTATCACATACTAAAAAAATTTTTTTTAAAATCATTTGAACAATTTCTCAAGAAACTTTTAAAGTATATGCATCTTTTTACCAAACATTTAAAATTATTTTTACAAAGCATTSTCTCATAAATTGTCTCAGAAATTATTACATCTCAAAGTTATTTTTATTAGTTGCTTAAATGAAATAAATGAAAAAAAACTTACCAACAACTTCCACACTGAGGATTTTCCATGATTATGCAAAACAAATATTAAGGAAAATATATTCATAAAATTTAGACATCCTACAAAGCCAACAGGTAATGCAAGAATTAAGAAAAAAATAATAATTGAGATATAAGTACCTTTCCCTGATTTTTCACTGCAGTTACTTTTCCTGATATTTTCCTTAAAACCGAAGATTGGCATTTGGTTATGAGTTAGTATGATTCCCAGTCACACACAACCATCTAGACCTCCATTGCAAATGAAAAATTGAGTTTTGGTGGATGTCAATCAAAAGAGTTTCTATTGTTTCTATACGCAAATAAATGTGCAAACACTATTYGTTACCGTTATTTCATGCTTCTTGTAGCTGTAATTCTYTTTCTTGGGATATATTYTCTCAAAAATGTCACAGAATTCCGTCTCCGAATTTCAAACTTTGACTGCAAAGCTATCTGTATTGCCTATGATTTGAGTGTCTTTGCTTTGAAGTCAAGCGTTTGAAATTCGGAGTCAGAATCCTTAGAAATTTTTCAATGATTGACGTCTACCAAAACTCTATTTTTCGTTTGTAATGAAGGTCAAGTTGGTCGGGTGTGACCGGAAATTACAGTAGAAAACAGATTGGGTCAAACTGCACCATCTCATCACTGGTAATTGGATATTAGATATTTTTCCTTTTYTTATTTAAATCTGACTTCCTGAATGATAGGTGGCATGTACATGAATAATTCCAAACGAAATGCATACCGGCTTACTATTTATAACCAAAGGTATCCAAAATAATAACAGCTACTTTCATTTTTTACGAAAGAAAGAAATAATTTGGTTGCTTTGCTGTGTGCAGTTATGAAGAACTTAGGGGCGAGAAGAATACTTGAGAATTTTTGAAAAGCACTCTTCTATCAATATAAATGGAGTTGAAACATAAATAAATCAGAAAAAATTTGTTCCAGAATGGAATCATACATTTATATGGTATAATCCTCAATATTATAGCACTCCTGGTCCCCTGACACAATTTTCTAAAGTTCTGCCAATCCCTGTGCACTCCCCAGGTCAACAGTGCACTCTTTACCCCCTTTCTGACAAGTCTCCATTTTACTGGGGTACTTAAATCTAAAGGTGTTGATTAGCAAGAAGTTAAAATATTTGCATTAGATCACAGAGAATTGAACTATGATCAAGTTTCTTACCAGTCCCAGTGTGGAGGAAGTTGCAGATTGGGTGCTTCTGCCAGACATTCACTGTTTGTATTCATTGCAATAATTTGTGATGGCTTTCTGTAGCCCATTCTTAAAAACTCTGAAATTTTGAGAAATGAATCTCACTGTTATATTTAGTCTGTATGTGGATTCTCTTTCTACTTTCCTAAGTGAGAAGTGGATAAACATGGAATATTTGCAATCAGATAAAAATAACATTTGCATTTGACAGCTACATTTATAATTTCGATTAAGGGTATCAAAAGTACCTTTAAATTCCTGAAGTGTCCAATCWGAAAACTTATTGACTCCATACACTGCACTTCCATTAAGCTCTTTTCCCCTTTGGTTCAGTTTAAATTGCCTTGCCAAACTTTGCTATGRAAAAGTAAACGAAACGAGGAAAACCCGGGAGGAAAAGAAAGAGGATTAATTCGAGATGGCCTTCTTACAAAATGTTTTTAATGACAATTTTTTTAATGACAATTCTAAAAGAATTGGAAGACATCTGTAAATATTTTTTATATAGCTATAGAAAATCATTTTTGAACAAACAGTTACCTAATATCATTATACCATATTATATAATSCAGCATACCTTGAATATCTCTTGTCGCTTGTAATATTCGTTGGGATCATTTAAATATGTTTTGTTATGCCGTATCACGTACTGTTTAAACAATAAGCTTATTTCTTCATTTCGTGTCTGATTACTGATCACTTTCTCGTCCACCGGTTCCGCTATTACTACAGAAACCAAACTATAATATATAAGAAGTAAAACTGCTAGTTCTAGACGGTAGAAGGGCTCCATAGCCATCATCTCAAGGCAAAATCCCCACTTCCTGTATTTCAAAAAGACTTTCACCAGACGTTCCTARCATATATCGAGGAGGACTGGTATCACGACACAGGGTGACCAAATAAATATAGATTAATCTATAACTTTTTTGTTACTTCGAAACAATTTTCCTTGTCACATCTTTGTTATATTATTACATTTCAATCACCATGAAATAATTAAACAGATACCATTTGGTAGCTGTTTGAACAATTTTATTTATTTTTACCTGGCTCTTTTTACTTATTAAATTTACGAAAGCCTTATCTCTTGAGACTTCGTTGAATTCGATCACCTGGTCTYTTGTGTAGTCACAAATATTTCCATGCAGAACAACAATACCATTGCATGATATTCAAATTCTACTTTACTGAAGCCCAAACATTCTTTAGGACCAACTAAAGCAACAGGATTTGACATCAAGGAGTTGGATTTGAAGGAGTTTCTCACCGGCTGGTGCTGACATTGGGTAAGTACTTTTAGTTCATCCCTTTATGGTGGTTTGAGGTCTAAAATATCATTCAAAAATGCAAMAATCTTGTCGTTATAGGGGAAAGGTGTAATGAATTGCTAGGTTGTGTACATTGCGCTTTCGGCTCGCTGCGGTGTATWTTATTTTCATAATATGTTTGACCACTTAATATGTTAGCAAAATTGCATGGCGTCTTTTGGATATCCTTTTAATTAATTGTTTTACGTTTTTTAAGAGTACGTTTCTAGATATCTCAATGTAGTGAGGGAGCCGCCATTTTGATTTGCCCTTTGTTTTTGTTTCGGTAACCTCGTTCTGAAGAGTACCAAATCGAGACCACAGGCCAAGGCCACAAGGTCTAACAACACGACCGCGCGTCACTGGCGCGAGAAAGAAAWGCAACTTAATATAAAGCATGAAAGTATACAAAATGTCGTTGTTTTGTACAAATACTGTACTTTTTTAATAATCAGTATATTTCTTAAGAAAATATCACTACATTTCTATCTATATTTATTGATTTTTTGCAAAAAAATACATAAGTGTTGATTTAAAGTACGTTTTATTTAGCTGCGCATGTCAAGTAGAACCCTGACATCATTGTTTTTGGCTTCCAAAATACCATCATTTTCACTCACTTTTCCTGGAAAATTTTGGCTTTGGTTGGTGCCTTAAAACTCGTGCATTTTCGCATTTTTCTCTTAATAATTAGCGATTTATAATAATTTAACAATTCAATTAGAGTTTACTTTGCATGATTTTTCAGTAAACTTTGAGCTTTTTTTCGTACCAAAATACAATGGTAAAATTTTCCTGGGTTCCAAAGGTCGAAGGTGCGTCACCGAAGCAGACGTCCAAGAAGCAATGAAGCCGTGAGAGAGCCTCTGTGTTTCCAGCGTATTATAAATCCATTACGTCAAAACTTTCGAGACTACAGAAATGTAACGAATAGTGTTTCCATAGGGCTTAACARCAAAATTTAAAACCTCGAGCAAAAGATCAATCATTCGTTCGAATAAATTACCTTCACCACAATACAATATAATATAACTACAAAACTCAAATTGTAACTAATACTACGAACCTGTACTACGCACCAAATATAGCAAGAACAAGAAGATACACTAACTAAACCGGCATTTTTACCATAAAACATTTCATATTTTTTCGAAGGAAGATATTTAACGAATATCAATGCATTAGTTTSTTACTGCCTGACAATGAAAGAAGATATTAAGTCATTATATATATATATATATTTAAAAAAACATTTAACGACACTCCATAGATTTTCGTTCTGGCTTGTGACAGCTAGGGACTCTTATTTGAAGTGATTTAAGAGTGCATACCTACAAAAAGAGAAAGTTATTAGTTTACAGACTGATAAAGGGACAGAGCGTTTCCAAGAGAGGAATCAAGGGCTTACTGCCTATCTCATGAGAACAGTACAAACATGTAAACAAGAAAATGGGAGCCCTGGCCCCCTTGGCACCCCACTGGCTACGCCCTTGGACGTAGTAGAAAAACTATCAACTCACCTCTTGTAAATTCTAATAGCCTTAGTGCTGAGCGTTATATCCATGTCCTCAAGCGAACGCCTTTTCTTTTGCTTCTTGTCTCCAATGTATGAGTGAATCATTCTCTTTATGTTCGYTTTCCATGGAACTAAAGGGTTTCCTTGTCGTGCGCCAGCAGCCATCACTTTAGCTATGAATTGGCGTCCAACAGCTGAAAGAAGCATAAAATTACCATGGTATAACTAAKAAATCGTTATGGTACAATGACACGCCCAAAATGAGCAAAGAGGAGAGTTTTTAATTGCATTTTTTCACACTTCACTTTAGGAAGTAGCTGCGAAAGCCAGTCAGACTTAGACTCCGCTCCACGTGACTTGGCTACTTTGATTACTCAAMATTATCATTTCCAAATAAATCAACATTGACTGAGGTAAATTTAAACTTTTTTGCATTTTTGTTTTGTTAGTTTGCTTTTCTTTGTTAATTTAAAGCTGTAAATATGTAACTAAAACATTTTTTTTCTGTATTAAAACTGAGTACCTGTGTTTTCAAGACAAGCACGATTGTCAATGCCTTCTTTGTCGTGCGATGAAAGCTTTACTAACACAGCATAGTGCCAATATTGCCACTGATTCTGTGCAGGTCCACCGAGGTACTCTTTTGGATGGGGCTCATTCATGTTCTGACAAATGATACTTAGATGACAACTGGGTCTTGCCTTGATAACGTACTCTCCATCCTGGTTTCCTATACCACATGATCGTATTTCCTCGCATGAACTGGGAATTCCTGCCAAGATCAGAGTTCAAGAAAGATTCAAATAGTTAGTGCAAGTGCTAAAATGCTAAAATGCAAGTGCTAGATGAGTTAAATAGATAAGAAACGCCATGACTACAAAATCAGTTAACTTYTTTGTCTTCTTTGTGGAGCATGGAAACTTATGAGTTTATTGACCTGACACTGTACTATTTGTAGAACATGCCAAAGTAATCTCTCGGTAATCTGCTCATGATACCTTGARGTAAGGGCACCACACCGCCATTATAGGATATCACAGGTGGTTTTGCAGGAAGAATAGGAACATCTGACGATGCAGGTACAGCAGGTRCTGCTGCTTGACTTGGAACTRTCTGTCGAGCCTGAGTTGGAGCAGCCTGTGTCACAACAGGCTGAGTCGGAGYAGCTTGCGTTACAGCAGCCTGCGTTGAGGCAGGTTGACTTGGAGCGGCTTGTGTTACTGCAGCCTGCGCTACGGCAGGTTGTGTTGCAGCAGCCTGAGTTGGAGCAGCAGTGTTGGATTGACCTGTCTGTCCTGTTTGTCCAGCCTGACCTGACGTCGCATCTGCTGGCTTCTCAACTGCCAAGAAAAAATAGTACCATTTAATTACTGGGCTTAATGTGGTAGCACAATGTGGGTTATTTCCTCTCTCTGCTGTTCCACCAGATTAGAAGATATCATTCACATTAGGTCTCGGTCAAGTTTATTTTCTAGRTTTTCGGTAGAACTTTATCTCATAGTAATGTCAAACTCATGAGAATCAAAAAAAGTGTAAAGTATATTTTCTTACTTATTACTGGTAATCCACCCAGAACACCAGAAGCAATTGCGTCGTTCAATGGTTTTAGAGTTGGAGATTCGTTTGCAGGGAACGTGATGGTGAAGTCAGCTCTGATCTTGTTATCAGGAGTACGGCTGTCGACAGAATAACCATACACGAACATTTAACTTCATTCCGACGTTAAGCCTTATTGGCTGGTTACGAGAGCAAGAATAATTGAACTTAAACGCGTATCTGCTGACCTTAGACCTGTGATCTTTACATCGACATCATATGGTTTATATGCTTCTTTAATCTAGAAAAATGAAAGAATTGAGAATTCGTAAATAATAGTGTTAAAGATTGTATTAGAGTAAGGCGTAAAGGGAAAATAGTTACGGTGTCATAAGGGCATACTGGCCATGCATCAACATGGGAGTACCTCAAGGAAGTATATTGGTACCTCTTTATTGCATTTCTTAATTCCATATTCAGCATAATGATGACTAAACGTTTTTGCATTGAATCAGGCTACGGATAGGACATTTCGCAAGGATCAATGTGTAACTTACAGCTTTTGCGATAGTGTCAGATAATATTTTGTCGGTTGCGCTCCTTGGATCATCCATGAAGGGATACCAGGTTTGATCAAGAATTACATGACCAGACAGAACTTGACCTGTRAAAATAAGAAATAAATTTACATTATACTCAATCATAGAAATATTTACTAARACTGACCTTTGTCAGTGATAGGTATAACCTTACCCTTCATCAATACATAGTGACTAGTTTGAATACCGTTTTTTACGCGGCCTGAATAAGCCTGAATTCAAACGTTCTTTTGTCTCTAAAGTCAAATAAGCAAGCCTAATGGGCTAGCACAATGCAAACCAGTACCAAAGTGGTTACCTGGTGATGGTGTTGCGTAGGCCGGAATAGGCACTGGCGCTGGTGGCTGGACATTTTCTTGAGGTTGATAAGGCACCAGGGCCTTAGTTGGTCGTAGTTGATCCACTTGTTCGGTGTTTTGGGGCGGATTATAAACAGGTGGCTTTGAACCTGGTAGTTCACCGTCTGAAAAAACCAAAGAAATAAAAGTCAACTAAAAATTTGGATGTGYGTGCTTGCTGGAAACGCCTTTCAGGAACAACCTCCCTCAGGGCTCTACCACGCAGAAGCTTCGCCTCTTTTTTCCAGAACCTGGACTCGATAGGAGTAAAGATTACCAAAAAGAAATTCAAAAAGAAATTCGAGATTCTAGGGAAGRGCGCATACATGGACCGTTGATGTGCTGGCCTTAGGACATCGAATATCACCCAAAAAAAGTTCATTATTAGTTAAGCCAAAGTAACTTATGGAAATGGTACTTACTTAGATAGTCCTCAAAGATGGGTATATCACCCAACATTCCTGACTTAACAAGCTGAAGAATCTTTGCCATGGGATCATAATCACCAGGCTTGAACCGCAATACGATGCGGATAAATGGATGCTCATCTGGCCCCTCACTGAACAAGCAATAACAGCACATTATAAAACGCTTAGGTTAACTACGAAGAAGATTCTACTTGTCTGCGCAAACGTTTGGGAGAATTCAGTGCAAAGTTYATTGTTTTGATTTCTTAAGACGAACTTCCCATACTGCACCTACCTGATACTCGTTACTCGGTCATCAACAAAGTTTGGCTTGTTGTCAAAAATGATTTTTACCTGGAAATATACAAATACAAATATAGCTTTCTCGAGTATTCGTTTCTTATTTCGTTAKTAATCATTAGTTACTCACAATATTTTGGATGTGGTCCTCAAGGTGTTTGGTCACATTGTTGCTGCCATCGCTCAGTCTTGGGTCCCAAGGACGTTTGAGCTTGATATCGTACTGAAACTCTTGATCTAAAAAGCCAAAAAAAAAAAGACTTTTGTTAAAATAAATAAGTTAAGTGATCAGTGATTGGTTGGAATGTAAGTGAACGCTAGARGGAACTGGTTGTGAAACCCAGCAAACTTCAAAGGACTGGCCCTTTGTTTCGCGTTTAAGGTTGAACTGCATGCACCATAACGTGACAACGCGTTGCAGTGTAAAACAATATGGCGGACATATATGATCCACTCTGTTAACTATGACGCAGTGGAAACTGACCAAGAACCCGTTACAGAAATATCTTACATGAGAAACAACTGTCTTGTCGTTATTAAATGGAAAGAATAAATGGTGTGCGCTGCGCTACTATTTCTGGATGTAATTAAGTTGCTTATTGGTGTTTTTCCTGTGGTTTGATAGATTTTCGCTACTATTTCTGGATGTAATTAAGTTGCTTATTGGTGTTTTTCCTGTGGTTTGATAGATTTTCTACTGATTCTCTGGTTTCCTCCGTCCTCCAAAATCAAATCATTACGATTTGATTTTTTGGCTTTTATTTTCAGGAGGTTGRAGTTCCACTCAGTTTTGACTGCGAAAAAACTGTATTTAAGAATCTATACAACCAAATGATTGTTGATGAGGATTTATAATCCTGSCACAGCCGGGCTACTTACATGGACCAGTATATACAGCAGTTGTAGGTGCCAGTGTAGTTRATACTGTTGGTGCATATGTTGGGTTACCATGAACGTCCAACAGAGACACCTTTCCTGATGTTGAGTTTGATTTATTTGGAGGTGATGGCTTCCGGGTGTCTGTAAAGATAAGCTTGATAATGAATGAAAGCTGGTAATTGTTAATTAGGCAAATGCCACTAGTTCACGAAAGAGAAAATTGCGTTCTCTTTAAAAGAAGTTAACTGGGATGATGGAAGCCATGAAAATATTCTCTTTTTCTTTTACTCACTCACTCTTTCATTCTTTCCTCCCTCCCTCCTTGTTTTCTTTCTTTCTGCATTCCTTCTCCTACCCTAAGAGTACTTGAATCAAAAAATAGAGATTTTCTCCTGATCATATGATTAACTTACCAAAGATAATGAAATAGTCGGGAGACACTTCCATTCCTGAGATCCTGCCTGATTCCACGATCTCGCGTAGATGCACAAGTGGATCTTCTTCGCTTTGATCGAAATCAAACTCGATATCAGCRAGAATCTGTGGATCTTTGTCGTTGGATTTCCTGCGTAAATGGTTAAGATTTCTTAGTTACTTTTTAAAAGAAAAAATATATATATTTGTGGGGTGCATCGCCTCCCGTGAGAATGAAAGTCGAAAGACATAATGGCCGCCATGTTGGAGACCATTTATTTTGTATAAGCAAATTAACATGCCAAGTAATATATACCCAAGGAATATTAGTGTAGGGCGAAACGTAGAAGAGAATAAAAATATTACCAAATATAACTTACTTTAACGTCATGACTTTGGATTCAATGTATTCTGTATCTCCAATGAGCTCTGTGAATATCTGCGCATAGTATTAACGCAAGATTTACTTGTGTTAACTTACAGTTTTATGGCTAATCTATTGTTCCTCTCCATGCAAATAAAGACACTGCAAACGACTTCTTTTTGTATGAGATTGTAAGAACATTTAATAAAAAATGCCAATGTAAAAATGCCCTCCCGTCTCAGTTGGTCCTATACATTTCCAAGCAACGCGAGTTCTTAGATCTTCTTTGGAACTATGAAAAAAGGGGAATCGTAAATGTGTAGTATTGTACTCACCGCATCAAGTATGTTACCATCCATCATGCGGTACGGCGTTGACGTATGATTCTCCATTGCGTCCATCCAGCTTGTTAAGAATTTTATCTCTACTTTTATAGCTTTTGCTGGAAAATGAGAAAGAATTTACTATGTGATTGCAAAAAAAAAAAAAAACAACAACAACATTAGAAGATTATATTGCAATACAGGCAACTTTCTGTCTTGCCCTTCTTCAGTTCTCTCTCTCACACCGTCAGTCTAATTGGAGATAGAAGTGCACTTGTTGACCTTGCATTATATCCTTTTCCAGGTATGACACAAAAATGCTAAAAATAGCATAAGAGTTGTAAAATTTGACCTTTTTTTTCGCGGCCTAGCCCCACCCTTGAATTTCAAGACTCGCAGTTGCCTTTCTTGTGATTCCTTACTTGGTCCAACAGCTAAGCTTCTCCTCATTCTCGTGAGCTTTTTCCTGAGAAGCACGAGTTTGTCCATGTCAACATCACGGCRACGTCTTGAAAGCCATATGTTGTGCATAGCTTTGATCACAACACTTCGACGTGATCTGTGAAGCTCGGGTGATTTCATCATTGGTTTCGATTCTACCATAAAAGAAAACAGATAGTAAACTTTTCAGATAGTGCATTGCAGTTTAGTGACCATTTTTGGTGTTATTTGTTGTCATGACTACAGCATCCTAGRGATTCCCGTAAAAGGAAGCCCCATCCAATTTCTCGGCCTATAAGTTTTGACAAGATCTCACTGCGTGACGAGGTGCGGAAAAATAGTTGTTCTATTGATGAATCCAAACCCATGAAATTCAACGTCGATCCCAATCCAATCCCATTTSTCATTTCATTCCTTCCGCAATGTCGCTCTTTTGTATGACTCTTTGCTAAMAATGGTTGCTAAGCGACAGTTATATTGTTGTATATCTTTATGAAAATAAATGTTYAAACATAATGCCAAGTAGTAATTGATATCATGAGATTCATGCAAATGCTTCATGATTATTTTCTTTTTCTTGTTTATCAGAGCCATGCAAGAATTCTGGTGTTGAAAATGCTGCCTTCTGCAACTAGATGTATTCTCTGTCTCAAGGAAGAGTATTGTATGAAGGACTTTGCAACTGACATGGTTTCAAGACATCATACACGCATGCGCAACATATTGTATTGGACTCACCTGTGAGAGAATTGGTYACCAATTGAATGGTAAGTACTGTACAAAATATTAGCAGTTTCATGTTTATTTTAATTCCTTAAAAACAAATAAACAAATAAACAAAAAGTACGTCAAAATACATAAACTATATTTCATACTTCGCTTAATAGATGTTAATGTTACGAACAAAGTATTTGCTTATACTGTACATAAACTATATTCCATACTTCCCTTAATAGATGTTAAGGTTACGAACAAAGTATTTTCTTATACTTTACAACTTCCCACAGGTCGATGAAAATGCATGTGTATTCTAATAATTCTGAAGTGTTTGCAAAAACCAATAATATTTACAAATTCTTAGTGAAACAAACGCTTTCTCCTCCGTCTCCGACACCGTGGTATACTGGTATATCTTATAAACAAGAAATCCGGTTCGATGGTCACCATATAATATTACGTTAATTTTCGTTCCAAAATCTCTTTTATCTGATTAATCAAAAAACCTGGCGATCCAGTGCAAAGCGTTTAWCTTTGGCTTCCCACTTCAAGCCACATCCTATAGTACCTGTATGATAATGTTTTACACGTACAAAATCGGCAAATATAATGTCTTTAGACCACAATATCTAAAAGACAAATCAGTCTTCTTTCATTCACTTTCTATTCTTAACAAATATCTGGTTACCTTGCACGTATTTATTGCTAGGATTAATGACATATTACCGCATTAATCTTTGATCGCGCGCGCAATGAAAGTTTTCCCTTTTCAATCTTTGGTTATAACTCTTTGATTAATTCTTTCTGATTTACTATAAAATGTATTGAATTCTATTAAAATATGAAAATAAATGGGTTTACGGATATAATAATTTAAATTTAGACTGGCAGTAAATGACATAAATAATTATGTCATTTTGAATCAGTGAGAATAAAGAATAAAATAACAAAAATGAAAACTKCTGATTCTTGAAAATAATCGAAGTCATATCCAACAAACGAAATAAAGTTCCCAAAGATAGTATATAAAAAGTGGTATAAATTAGTTTAATAACAAAATATCTGTAGAAAGAGTAGTAACCGGCTAGGATAGAGATTCGTGATAAATAAGGATATATAAACAAGCGGCCTTCAAATCAGTTCAAACCCTCATTTGAGTCAGTTTTTYCCTCTCGTCTAACAAACCATATACGAGTTTAACCAGATCCTACGCATTCTATGTGTATAAGAAATATCTAACATTAAGAACATAGATTTTTTACTAACCTTATAACTTTATATACCAACGAGAATGACACGGTTTCCTTTATCAGCTATGGACCATAGGGGCTTTCAAACACCGCAATAACACCCGAGTCCCATGATCAATCCACTATATCGCTTTTAAGTCTATCCTTTATGCTGTTTTTGTGATTTTCCTTTGTCTTACAAAGATTAAAATTTCTATTTCTAAATTAGAGCCGATTTTTAAAGTAAGGTTAGCGAGAGAGAACGGGATGGAAGCCAGAGATGAAAGTTGTGCATAATTGATGCCCGAATGACAAAGATCAACGAATRGATTTCCACGTAAAAACAAAATATGTACCAGTACGAGTACCCGTTGATCAACCGGTATCTACTCGTCTCTTTTCTGCTTGGATGGGGCTCCTCTGAAYTCGTTACCGAACTTTTTAAACAAGCTGTGTGTGTGTTCGGAAAACTTGTTCTGGTGCTGCATTGTTAGTGACCTGTTTCATCAACTAACATTTCAATGAAAGATCAAGAGTGTACTAACAGAGAAAAGGAAGAAAATAGTAGAAAATAGATTCAAGTATAGTCCTCCTTGGTGTCCTAGAAGTACAAGTATCCCAAACAAGTACATAATTATTGAAAATTTTTGCTTATTGTTATTTCTACGAATAGTTCTATGGGATTCGCAAAATTTGTACGCCTTTCAAATTCACCTGTTTTTTTTGATATGTTTATAATCTTGGTTTAAATAAGTCTCACGCATGTCTTCTCGATTTTATTCTAGACGRGACAAACATTGCAAAAACTTCAGAAATATTTCAGTCTTGGTTATTTTTGTTGGTAATTGGCAATTTTCTCTTTTTGTTGCTCTCAGAACTTTCCAATATCAACTGCCAACAAAAAAAATCAGTTCTTTCTCTTAAAATTTCTCTCCAACTTTTTATTCAAAAATATCCTTCATATTATACATCAACAAGAACAATAAATAGATTTTTTTCTCAGTATATAGATGCTTTTATTATTTTTCTGTATTTATAATGTTTCTATGGTTTACTGAATGGAAAGAGATCAAAACTATCCAAAAGAGAAGTATCGACACACTTCAGGGACTACTATCAAACCAACACCCGTAATACTCCGCCCTGAAATGTAACCATAGACCTGAAAGGAAAAGAATTTATGACGCAGAAAGTATTATATTGAGACACTTGATCGTTAAAGAGAAGTATCGACACACATCAGGGACTACTATCAAACCAACACCCGTAATACTCCGCCCTGAAATGTAACCATAGACCTGAAAGGAAAAKAATTTATRACGCAGAAAGTATTATATTGAGATACCTTGTTATGGGTCTGTAGCAACGAAAAGTATGAGTCTAGTTTTCACTCGAAAAAAGGAGGCGGAAAATGAGGGGTAAGGGAAAGAAAAATATATCAAATCAAATAAAATAAATGAATCGCTTTAGCTCAGACATCTAAGCTTTAATTTCCTATAGAATGTGTATAGTCAAAACACCAATATTACATTGACAAGGCAATTTCAGCAGTCTTAACTGATTTCAAAGATGCGGCTAATAATCAATCTTATTTTATCGATAAATTTGCCTTTGAATGCAATTCACAGCAAATAGTTTATATTGGTAGAGTGGGAAGGGATGCTTATTCGCCCGTCTCATCGACCTGCTGTAAGCTGATCAAGCGATGTTCCAACCAATGGAGCGATGTATCTTACTATTCCTCTACCAGTTATTTGGTTGGCGAGTCGGAAAAGAAAAAGAATGTGGCTTATAGAAGGAAGGTTAGGTTTCTGATCTCACTATCAGTCGCTCGTTAACTACAGAGCTTGAGGGCTAATAAATCATTGCGTGCATTACTGTCATGTTTATCTTTGTAAAACAAAATCATACGTATGTGAGTATATAGCATGCTTCACGTTGAATACAAGTTTGACTACAATCAGTAAGAATATAGCACTGATGCAAACACGAATTTGGTTATATATGCTATAAATCGTACTAATTAACAAATATCGAGTATTGCTTTTTTTCGAGCGAGAGCTCTATGATTACTAGGGTAATCTTGGCCAACAGGTAAAACAAGTCATCAAACTGACATTACAAGAACGATTCACTCAATATTAATTACAACTAAGTATGAAATATGACGTTATATATGGAGTGATGACATCTGAAATTTCCTTGGGCTGTAATCTATGCCTGTAATTCATATGCAGGATTGCCGTGAAAAGCTTTGTTTTCGAAACTCTTGGTTTCATCGCATTTCTGCCTCGTTTCCTTCATCTCCATCTTGTTTTCTTCGTCGCATGGTATTATTTTGTTAGCACCAGATAGTGACCTTTTTCTGGCTTCAATTTGCCGAGAGCTGGTTCTTATTCTGACTATGATCACCACTACCACTATGAGGACTGCGGCAATACCGATGGCAACCAATAGAGGAACCAGAATGTTTGTCGGTTTTTCATCTGAAAATATCAATTGTAATAATATCAAACACCATAAATCATGTTTGTATATCATGAGTGCGTAGTTATGGCATAGGAAGAGACCGGTAAGTACAACTGAAATTTATCAGTCTGGTCAGTAACGGTGCACCATGTCTATTTTTATTTTAAGACAACTACATATATTAAAGAATTGCACAATGCCGATCCGTTATAACTAAATCTACGCTTGAGGTAATCAGTTCTAGTCTTAGGAATTTTAAGTTTTTTCTCAAAATTTCTAAATTCGTGAGAAGTATTTTTCAAGGTAAACAAGGGGAACCAGCAGTGTGGCCATTCAAGGATTTGTACATCATGGCGGCTTTTTGTTAACTCCTTTTGATTTTGATATGTAGTTTGTCAACCAAAGAGCCTTTTGAGTAACACAGACTTCAGAGCTAGCGTCAAAACGGCTTTGCGCCGTAATTAGTAGGTTCCTAACTGCAAATATCTGCGTACAAATAATAGTCTGCTCGTGCGCATTAGACTATTTGCTCTGCATATGACGCTAGCTCTGAATTGTTGCTCAAAAGGCTTGGTTTTGACAAACTACACATCAAAAGGAGTAAAGAAAAGCCACCATGGTGTACAAATCCTTAAACGCCCTTAATCCAGCTATATATACAGCATGGCAAAAGAGCAAACAAAAAAAATTTTTTTAGTGGTCTTTTAAATAATTTTACCATCCTTGTCTTGATTTTGAACAATCCTCAAAGAAGTCGGTTCAACCTCCAAGTTTCCCATTTTCCCATCTTTTATCCTATTTTTGATGGGTAGCAGAACATCTTCAAGATTGGAGTTGAAAACTAGAAGCATTTCAGCAATAACGCTTCCTTCTCTATAAAGAAAAAAGCTGGATAGTCAGCTTGGTTTATTAACCGGTTTTAGTCAAATCCAACTAGCGATCTATCATCAATGCTGCATTCTGATTGGATAAGCTACTAGTAGGCTATAAGTTATAGCCGCCCTACTAGTAGCGAAAAGTGCCAGCTTTGAAAACCAAAAAACTAAATGGAACTTTAATTCAACATTTGTTTGCATCTAAATATTTGACCGACTAGTTAGATTTCACTAAAACGATTAGTCCTGTCGCCCTCATGGCCTGTGAGTTAATAGCTATTGACTCATTGCCCATTCGTCCTCGAGTACTAATTGCAAAAAGAAATGGAAAGGAAATAAGATTTACCTAAACGATATAATCTTAACCTCAATTAGGTTCTTACTTCTTGCATAAGCTAACAAAATCTGAAACGAAGTCACAAAAGTGCGTTAGCAGCCGACTTTGTTCTTACCAACAATTCTTACCAATGTTCTTCTCTTTCTGACATTTTAAATCTGTAAGTAAGTTAGGTTTGATTTGTTTTTAATTTGTTTAGAGTTACTCATTCAAGGCTACCTCTTTCTTCAATGTCTGGGCAAGCTTGATAAAAGATTCACTACTCTTGTCCTTCAGTTTTTCTGTCCATTCTTTTCGTAATCGTAACTCAACCTTAAGCCCTGTATGTATGGGAATGGAATGAAAGGATAACATGAGTGCAATTCGACTAAAAAATATGTTCCTCCCTTTCAATCTCCCTCCCCTCCTTTCCTGTTTCGAGCCAGCCAGTTTCTATTTTTCCTTTAATTTGTTACTCATTAAAGTTCTAAATAAACATAGAAACAAGCAGAAATCTAAAGAACGAACTGATGCATGGAACGAATGGATGGATGGATGAAATCATTTGATTATATACACTTAATAATGCACAATATCGTACTTAATTTTTCAAACATCAACAATTGCAAACGTATAAAAATACATCAGGTCTTACTGGTGTTTTCACCGTTAGCCTGAGTTGTAAAACTCTCAGACGGTTTTATTCCAGAGGTTGAAGAAAACGTTTCTATTCCAGTAGTTGTATAAGCAGACGTTTCTTTTTCAGTGGTTGTAAAAAATGGCGTTTCTTTTTCAGTTGGATAAGCTGTTTATAAAAAAACGTAATTGATAATGTTTAGGGTACATTTATAAAGGATTACATCAAAAGTCAGAAAAATTACCAGTAAGAGTATATTTTGTTCTATTCCTATTTGTTCATAAAAGCTATACAATGAGCAGCAAGTTTCTTAAAAGAGTCAAAATTCCGAATAACAAAACATCTGGCAAATATAAACACTAACCTTTGTCTGTTGATGTAGTAGCTGTTTCAGTTGTGGTCAAATACGGCACTAAAAATGTTAAGGAAAAGGTGACGAACGCTAATACACTGTAATAATTATCATATAATAATTAACATATGATGTCTTTTAGTTAATAAAAGAAATGAAGGTTTTAACTTTTCCTACCTAAGCATGTTTTTCCGTCGCCGGTGTATCCGGGAGGGCAGGGACCACAAGTTAAATTACCGTTGGTGTCGGTACATCGCACTCCAGGATAGCAGGAATGATTACTACAACGGATCTCTTCCTGATCACAGTAAGGCCCTTTAAAGCCAACATTACATCGGCAGGTGTAGTTATTGACTCCATCGATACAAACACCTATTGTAACATATACAGAAATTTGTCTAAATATTTTTTAACTTTTTAAAGTAATTTTGAAACTTATCTTACCATTTCCACAGTTAACGCCATTGCAGTCATTAATGTTTTGCTCACAGTTTGGTCCAGAGAATCCTCGAAGGCAGTTGCAATAGTACTGTCCAGATCCCCGTGGGTGGTAGGGGTGGGGAACACACTGACCACCGTTCCGACAAGGACATTGTAATATACGTACTGTGATATTCAATGTATCAAATGCTCCACACTCATCCGTAACTTTCAGATTAAATCCTTGATTACCATTCGATGTCACGTTCCATCTCAGTAAACCAGATTTAATGAATGTGTAGTCGTGAGCCGTAGAACGGAGTAGAGAGTATGTTACTGGACGGTTATCAGGGTCTTTCGAAAGAAGTTGGAGAATAAGATATTCTCCTTTAATAGCAAAGTATGTTTGATTGGAAGTGAACTTTGGCGCACGGTTTCCTTGAAATAATAATAGAATAATAATAAATGATATAGAAGGAAGGAAGAAGTGAAGGATAGATCTCCTCGGCTCGGGTGCAATGTTCTGCCATTTCAGACCACGTGTCATTCCCTAGAGTATCATTTCTTTGTTTAACACTTGCGCTCGGTTGCGCATGAGAAGACACATGAATATGGATACAAATCAAATGAAGAATCTCATTCTCTTGGGAATAATACGTGTTCTGAAATTGGAAAAGTTTACGCCCGAGTCGAGGAGGTCTATAAATCGTTACGTTACAGAAATTAATCTTAAGAATTTGACATGACATTGTTAATTATTTCGATACTTATAAAGTAACCTTTTCTTGGAGTCCAGGAATGCTGGTCGTCACTCGGGATGCACTGCTGGCACCAGTCTAACGGATTTGATTGAAGTGCAGCAAAACAGTGTCCGCTGATAATGCACGATTCTTTCTGTATAAACATACAGTCGGCAAACGATTAAAAACCAGATGAAACAACAGTGTTATTAAGGATGTTCATGGGCAAAAGTTCCCATCGTCTGATTTTTTTAAAAAATTTACATGATGAAACTACATTATTCTAGAAGTAAAATAAGCATATAAAAAAATGAGGGTCACCGACTTCGTTTAGTCATCAGAATGCGTGGAAGTTTACCCTTTTACGGTAAAAACGCGAGAACAAAGTAGACGTGGAAAGCTGTCAAAAATAAGCCATCTTTTAATGAAAAAAGGAATTGATCGTCCCCATTCCCCCAGAACTCTAGAAAATAACCAAATAATTAGTTAGCTGATAGAAATGTTCAACGATTATTCGCCGAAGGCGAAGTGAATATCGGGGAATATTTACCGAGACGCAAGTCTTGTATTTTCGACGCAAGTGAGCATAATAAATAATGGAGAGAGAATTTTTCCCCCCCAATTTTATTTATCTTTGCAAGCGGCACAAATCGACAAACAAGCGTGCGCGTGCGCGTGCACGCTATATTCACCTGTAGGTGAATATAGTAGCATAGGACATAAATTGTGACCAATGAGCGCGCCGGACATGTAAATATGTAATTTCGATTTGATCCCATCGTCAGATGTTTTTAATTTCCCCCTAAAGTTGGGTGTAAAGTACTTTTAAAAATGAAATGAGGAAGGTGAGTCCCCGAATTTATTTTAGAGCTATAGAAAGGATGGGCGAATAATACCTATGAAGTGCCCTCACCTAAGTACTTAGTCTTCTTTCTCGTAAAGGAATTTTTGAATAGAAAAGTAGTAAGGTGGAATATCAATTTGAAATAAGACGAGGACATAACTTATTGAATTTTTACTCTTACAGCAGAATGCTTAGAACTGTATCGTAGTTACGCCTGACATAATTCATAAACAAAAAACTTTAGTTACTCACCTTCAGAGTGCAGTTCATTGATTTACTACAGTTTAAGCAGACAGAGTCATAGGAAACAAACTTTAGCTGCCTTGCACTTGTTCTTACGCCATCATTTGATACTGAAATCAAAAGTCCGCCTGCAGGGGTACCATCGTTTTCATAATCATCAATTGTGGTGGGAGGGTCAGGAAGGTTACATTTTACTACGTATAGGTCTGTCATTTTTCCGGGTAGTTTTATAGTTGATGTCCTTGGCGACCAATTTCCTTTAAAAACCTAATGATAACGTGTTGCTTGTCTTAGTCAGAAGTCATGTAATTTGAAAATATACAAAACTAAGCATAACATATTTAGGTACGTTTTTGGTTTCAGTTAACTGCCAGTAATTAATCCCCTGCACCGCACTAGGACTGTAACTTTCTGCGAATGCCTCAGTTCACATTTTATCCTACAATAAGTTGTTTTATAACAGCCAAAAAAAGCTAGTAGCATTTTGTTCAAATTTTAAAATTGTAGAGATTTAAAACTGATGTCTTCTTTTTATTCTTTTTCGTTACTCTTACGAAATTTGGTAAAACGATTTCCCTTGTAATTTACCTTGAACTCTTTTATGTGACATGTTATATTCTCGGAGCTAATGAAATCCTGACCAAAGATATCAGTTTTCTTGCACGGTCTTTCACGAATATCACATAGTCCTCCATCGTAAATTCTAAAGTAAGAATTTTAAAAGAAACCAAGACGATTTAACTTTCAGACATTCATGCAGGCCAATTAAAACGTTAAGGTCTAGTGGAGCTTTCCCCAGACAGTTAAATTAACATACCCCAGCAATTCAGGAACTGCGCTAGTTTCCATTGAGCAATCAATTGCAGTAAAACCTTCATCGCATATGCAGGTTCTATTTGAGCAGTTTCCATGTCCACTACAGTCGTTTGGGCACAAGTTTTCGCCGATCTCCATTGGGGGGACCATGTTTCCATTAGAATCATTAGAATAAAGAGATAAATTTTTCAAAGAAAACATTTCACATTGACTTTTCATAAAATCAAAAGCCGAATCCGCAAAGACAATATCGCCTGTTAGCTGAAAGATAATTTTTTTGGTATTAGACAATAAACATTAAAAGATATTTGCACTGTATATCTGGCTTACATGATAGCCATTTTGTAGGGCTTATAGACCCCTTGCACTGAATCCCTAGAGGAACTGTTCTGGTGGACAAAACACATAGGCTGTCTTTTCTTATGCAAAAAAATCCAATCTAGAGCAATTCCTCTCGGGACTCAGTGCAAGGGGTCTATAGCGCAATATCATTGCAATGCTTTTTCTTTCCCGGGGAGAATCTTTTTGTTGGGCAGGCACTGAGTTGCCCTACAACGTGGCTGCCGTTAAACCTTTGTATAAGTCGTTGATTTCTAAAAAGTAGAAGAAAAGCAAAAAAGGAAGAAAAGAGAAAGCACACGGAAAAAAGAAATGAAGATAAAATAAACAGAGGTAATGAAGAGGCATTGAACAAGACTTGAAACATGGGCTGTAGGAGAATGTTTGGTTTGAGACGGGAAAAATGCTTGTTATTAGACCAAATAAATCAAAAACCAAATATTCTCCTACAGCCCATGGTCAAACTCGACGCTATACTGACCTCTAAATCAGTGACACATTGTAGCATGGCTAATGTTAAATTTGTACCAGGAACTTCTTCGCAAACCTTTCCTGCGGTGGAATCTTCAATGACTTTTTTACAAATTCTGGTCGCGTTTTCTTTTGACATGCCATTCACGATCCTAGCGGATCGTCTATTGCGGAAACGATGAATGGCGTGTTTTGCATCTTTTTCATCAACAAAGAAGCTGCGATCCTCGTAATCAATGATGTCATCACTGTACCACCGACTGTCTACAGATCGTCGATTAATCTTTTGACCAAACCTATTTAGTGCGGTTGTTACATCTTCTGGGTGATTTGATGAAGTATATCCCTGAAAATGGTTTGTTGTATCGAAGCAACTATCTTTTGATATTTTATGAATTGGTCCTACAGGACAAGTGCAAGCCATTCCATCATCTGCTTTCCTTTTAACAATTTCTGGCAAAGCCTCGAAAAGACTTTTACTTGTGTCCACTCTAGATTTTTAAATCATGATTGGTTCAGAATTAAAGATAAATGTAATTTGTAGCAAGCAAAGTTAAGCGAGGCACGCAGAAGCACGACCCAGCGAATCCAGCGAGAAGCCTTTCGGGTATTGGAGTGGCATATAAAGTTAGTGCTGATTGATTATGTTTTATGTTTTTCAAACTTAAAACATTTTAGCCTATAATATCTTACTACTTTTTCCCCTAACTTGGTGCAATCAAACAATGAGTTTTTTTTATACCATTATTTTTTTACGTAACTTTGTAACCGCTGCAAATTCACTTGACTCACCTCATACTATCTCCAAAGGAATTCGCATCGTGAAATACTTGTCCATTGTGTTTGAAATCATCATCTTGGTCACCGTTAAAGTTACCACATAACCCAGATATTTTACTTCTTTTATCAGGTTTTGGAGCAAAAACTTTGACACTCATCCCCCAACTAGTACGCGTAGCAATGATTTGAGTCCCCGATGATAGAATTACCTGAAATAACGGCATTATATTACGGAATTTCTGGTTAAATTAATAGAAAAAATACCTTATTTATTAAGAGGAAATTTTTTTCAATAATGAGCAATAATGGCAAAAAGCGCCAAAAACTAGACTTTCGTATGAGTTTTGATCCCAATTTTAGAATAAAATTTTTGCTTTGGGTTAACACTTTGATTCCACTTTCATCGGTCATCTCCACTTCCAAGCAAGTTAAACTTTCTGAATAACAACATTTTAGCCTTGTACTACAGCCTTTCTTTTTTTCTTTAGTTTTTGGCGCTCGCTGCTTGAATACGAAAAGAATCAGTCTCTCTTTATCCAAACTAGATGTAGCTTCTGAATATCTTTAAAACATTATTTTTCAGGATAAGGTATATAGATCTTATAATCGAATAAGGTATTCATTATCCAACTGAGCTTACTTTTTCCCAACTAAGAAGGCTTTTTAAAATAAAACAATATTCTTTAAGAAACCAGTTTTCAAAACCGGTTTTTTACTGTACAAAATATCCTAGAGTACGAATATTTAGCAATTATTTTTTAGCAAAAATAAGTTACTATGTACACAAGTTGGTATATGCTAAAGCAATTATCGCCTCAGGCTCAGTGAATATCGGGGAATATTTACCGAGACGCGAGTCTTCGAGCGGAGAGGTAGAATATTCTCCATACTCACTGAGCCTGAGGCGAATAACCAACTTTACAGAGTAACTTATTTTTATATACAATAATTCAATAAAAACAAACAAACAGAAACTTGCCTCTTCCAATTTTGTCAGTCCTCGGAATGTTTTCAAATTGCCTATACCTATACTAATTGTACTCCTCTTGTCCAATCAGAATCGAGTAATTTTGTTCAGCGTATTATAAAATATAAAATTGAATGCTTTACGAGGGTTTTTATGGGAAAATGCTCTGGCTGGCAAGAGCTTAACAGCTAACACTTTTCCTATACAAATTCTTATAAAATATTTGGTAATAGATAGTACGCGCTCCCTGATTAGTCGGAAACTGTGCTTTATTAGTGAACGGAAAATCATCAATAAACACAAATTATCCTCTAGATCTTACAAATGTGGAGGCGCTCTTTTTAATTTCTGGTTCCTACATCAGATACATACGTACATAGATTATCATTATCATACATCTTCATTGTCATCATCGTCGTCACGGTCGCGGTCGTCGCGGTCGCCTTTATCAGCATTATATGTATACAAGAGAATACTTAATATTCTCTTGACGTATACCATAGTTAATAGATTAGATCTGCTAATTATGATTATACATTTTGATTTTTTTTTAAATAAAAAAACAGGGTAATGTAGCAGGCAAAAGGGACTTACTTGATATTTAACTGATGAACCGGTCAACGTTCTGTAAACATGAGTTCCATGTGAAATTGGTCTTGGTACATATGCTTTAAATCTTCTTAAGGCAGATTCATGAAGACTAAGATCTTTGTTGCAAACAGATAATATTATGAGATCGTTATCTTCACGTATTGCTACTCCACAATTACACGAAACGCCGCCATTGCAAGACCAAAGACGCGAATGAATCTGTCATACATATATATATATAAAGAAAGGCAGAATTAGAAAAGTATAAGAAATTAAAAGACTCTATCTATTCTTAGTGGAAAAAATTATTTACGGTAAAACGCATTAAAACACAAACATAAATCTGGACTACCTATATTAGGAAAGATTGATGTCCATCTTTTCCGCTACTGATTATGCCGAATATTGTGTGCAATTCTACGTGTAGAAACAAAATTACCTCTACGTGTTTCGTATCTTTCACACTGCGGTACAACACGTAATCACCAATCTTATAGAAATCGAAGTACCTGCAAAAATATTTAAATACGTATAAGTTAGTAATCCTAATTAATTTCAAATTAGAATATTTAGATATTTATTCAGCAGTCAATATGGGTGGATGGTCGGCGGGTGAATAGATGGTAGACGCTTGTTTTTGTTTTTTTTGTTTTTTGTTTTTTGTTTTTTGTTTTCACAGTCAGTGAATATGTTTTAAATGATTGGTTGTTTCCATGATTACATTAAAAGCTGGATAAGCATTAGACACCATTATTACTTTTTGTCAAACGTTGTATAATGTGGATCCGCATACGATGTGCAAAGACCAATTTCTGTATTTCTAACTTTGATCTAGAAATGAAAAGTAGAGAAAATGAATGAAATGATAATATGCGATATCACTTTGTATATATATGTGTGTGTGTGTATATATAACTATTAGTCACTAAATAGATACTATTAGTTAGTATTCAGTTTGATTTTATTTCACGGTTTAATTGCATCCGCTCTATTAAGAGTTTAAGAGTGTGAAGAGTTGAATGCCCACCTGTCGCTAGGGGTACCCTGATACATGTACCTTAAAATGTGATGTGATTTTTTGTTCATATACCTGTACAGATTTTACACGATAATTAAACCAGAATGTATGGGCATCCTCAAACGCAAAGTGGAATTGCATATTATTCTCTGGCTCATTTGGGTAATCACATATCGCTTTGATAGTTATGTTCTTGTCCACCATTGTATCTTTTCTTCCAAATTGGATTCCACACGTACTAACAGCGGCCTGTTTTTCTTTGCCTTGGAATGCATAGGGTACGTAAACGGATAGCTTAACTGGATCAGTAGGCATCCCATGCATAGGCAGAATCGGTACGGTTGCTCGGAAAGTAACATTCTTTTCTTTATTTACGTCACATTCTGTGAGGCTAATAATTGGTGGATAAACCTGCAGCAATAAAAAACAATTTATAAGCCAGTTATCCATATTTCCAACCCTTCAAACTAAAGTATTTCATTAGTTTAATAAAACTCACCGTGATTCCAATGTAGTAAAATGGACTGTATCTCCCGACACTTGTATAGTTATTGTTAGGATAAGATGAATACAGATATTTCATTCGAAGTCGACAGCGAACCTTAATTCCAAAGACAAACCAATTTTAAGTTTAGAAAAATGGCTAACTTTCCCAATTTAATACAGAATGTCCGAACAACAAAATCAAATCCATAAGATTTTATAGTAGTTATCGATTTTTTTCTTTTCTTTTCTAGAATGGATTTATTTTTTAGACAGACATTTACAGTTTACAGCAATCGTTGTCTTTTTGCCGTCAAAATTTTTTTTTTAATATGGTATTTTGCATTACTACAGCTCAGTGATTGTCAATGGGAAAAAACTTCGTTGGTCCAAAAAAATACAGTTGTCCCATCGCCTGTGTTTTTGTCCTTTAAAACTTACCCATTCTCCAGGTTTACCGTAATCTTGGTGGTTGAGAATACTTTGCCTTTCGTTACATGGTGTATCCGGGCTTGTACAAATTTCTTGGTTCTCAAAAAGTCTTCCACTGGAATACCAGTCCACCGAAAAGGATACATTATTCCATTGGGGAAATTCAAATTTACATAACATTTTGACTTCCGGAGAATTGTCATCTAGGTAAGTTACTTTAGGTGTTGGAATGAGATCATAAGGGAAATCCACAATGGTCAACACTAATAATGTATGAAAAATAAGAAACAGAATCTTAGTTGAGGCTCTCTCTCTTTTTCTTTTTCTCTGAGAAATTTCTTCTCAGGCATTGCTTACCTTGACAATTCGGTGGCATACCAGACATTCCTCTTGGACATGGCATTAAATTTCCTATGACAACAAATTATAGAATATGTAAACTAATACTTGCTAATACTCGAGTGATTATCGATAATTATGTATATATCTATAAATGTAATCATGGAGTAATTCAGTTCCAACTTCAAAAACTGAATATGGTTTCTGGGGACTAGGGATTTATTTATTTATTTGTTCAAGATGTAATTTTTTTACCTCAAAAATTAAGAGTGTTCTAGTTTTAATGCTTCATAGAAAAGAACTGTTTTGAAAACAGATTATTAGCTACAACTACATTCTTAAACCGTTTTCCCCTATAACTTGTAATTTTTCCATCGGAATTATTAATTTTTAACTCTTGCGATACGCGAAGCGTAGAAGCGAGTTATTGCGAGGGGTCTGAATATGCAAATGTGTTACTCGCTTATACTCTCTAAGGTGGTTAGCAGATCAATAAATAATCGTTTATGAATCGTCTTACAACATCTGTTTACGAACGTTACCTGAAACGGATTCGGACTTTATATAAACACGTACGAACTTCTTATCCATTAAAGGGTGGACAAGGAATTTATACAAGGAGCTGCTGGAATGCTATTTATCCATGTGGGATGTTGTCTAGCACCAGGCAGGATGGCACTGAGCATGCTCACACTCGATCATAGCTTTGCCTTCGGATTATTTATATCAAAAGAATCAAGAAAAGATAAATGCATAGAGAGAGTATTTAACGTTCCAGTCGGTAAAAAGGACAGATACCATAGCTTCTAAATATAGTCTTTTCTCGTATCATTATATCACATTTTCAGAACGCGTAATTCAGTTGGAAGACTGCGATGTGTTGAAGTTTGAACCTCGGAGTGCCTACATTTATATATTAGTAACCATTTCTTGAAACGACCCCACAGCTCACAACAACTTTTCATACAATACAAGCTAAAGAATTGTCTATTTGTTATTCAAAATGATCTATGACCCCACCACTAAGCGTTATTTACTAACTTAGAGAATAAAAAGTCAACAGATAAATTTCGAATCAAATTCCAAAATTACCATGAACTTGTTATAGCTTTTGAAATATATATAAATATATATATATATATATATATGTATATATTCCTTTCTTCTTTTTCGTAATTGCTGTTGCTATTGATATATTGTGTTGTGTGTGTGTGTGTGTATATGTCATTCAGTCTCGGCATCAAACCAAGCGTTGTCAACTGGTTAATTGACTTTCTTAGGAATAGAGTACAATGAGTGAAGCTGAATGTCGAATGTTACTCGGAGTGGCTAAAGGTTCCAGCTGGTATCGCTCAGGGAACTAGAATTGGTCCTTGGTTGTTCCTTGTAATGATTAATGATCTCAAAATGGAACGTGAAAATTTATCATTGTGGAAATTCGCTTACTATTTCTTATCGTATGAAAACAAGATAAGGAACGATCAATTAGCTATTAAAAATATCGATATAAGATTTCAGTAAGGCTACCATCACGCACAAGYTTAGATAATGGTATGCTTTGGATTCACAAGTAAACTTCTTAGCTCCTCCCATTAGCATTTGTACCTCTGGTTACGTCCTACACACTTTTTACCTCTTTGCTTAGTTATTTTAGCACTGTTCTTTTAAATCTTATGATAGAAATATTCATCGTAGACCACAGGTAGCCCAAGCTTGGTTTCTGTGGTGTCCTGTTATAAGGAAATGTATGGGGAATCATCAAAAATTTCAATAAAATCATCACAACGTGAAATAAAGCCTCGAAATTTTACCCTATCATTGAGAAATAGCACTTCTTTCGCTCTGCGTGGTTATTTTTTGAATTTAGCCCGTTTTAAGGAAACTCGGGATCCAAAAGCGAGCCATCACTGGAAAGAAAATTCGAAGACGTACGAGGTTTCAAAGACTCGTGATGGCTCGCTTTTGGATCCCGAGTTTCCAACCTTCGCTTATTTCTTACTGGTGGGGGAAAAA